AATAGTCGAGAAACGAAAAATAGGCCTCACATACATCTTTTTAGACAAACACCGCATACTACATAGTAAACTAGAGGAAAATATGTAGCAGTGTCTATTATTACATTATCTTTAAGTGTATGTCTTTGATTAAATTTTGGTGACATTTTCAGTGACATCGTTTAAGTCTTATATATCCAATTACTTAATATGTACTTATTAATTAAAACATAGAATAAATTGTGTGAAAATTGATCTGTTAAATTTAAAATTCAATATAAAAACGTATTTACAGACAATTTAATTATTTCTGGAGCTTATAATTTTTTTCCCACGCTTCGACGTACTTTTTAAGTTATAATTGTCATGTTTATTTCGTTTCGAACTGATTACTAACTTAGATATGCTTTTTTAAATTAATTCAATGAATAAAAGGAAACCACTTTGGTACGAACAAAATACAACCCTAGATAGCAATCGCCACCCAACGTTTTCGAAGCTTAATTAAGCATGACGGGGAATTCTAAAGAAAAGCAGTAGCCGTTTAATTTTATTTATTAACAAAAACTATGATATTATTCCTACAAAGTTACTAAGTGTTATGTGAAAGATATATTATATTCATTTTTAATCGTATGTTGACATTTGATGGATATAAATTAATCACTTGACCCTAACTTCACATTACATTCGCTGCAATGATTAAAATCGCCCACCGAAGTGAACCGCGCCGGAAGTCGCACATTCCAATGTCTTATTAAAATGGACCGAGCCTGGCTGGTTATAATTCCGCATAAATTAACCTGGAATTTATGTTAATAACCTATAACACCCCTGTTTATTATTAAAAACATTTCAAACTAAATGTAATTTATATTAAATACAATTTAATACCGATACCAAAATTCTTTTGCACTGTTTTAACCACTATTTATTCATAGTGTGTGGTATCAGAACGTATTTCATTTTCCTCGCTTCTTTCAAGTTATTTTAGAGCATGTTCCACAATGAGTGTTAATATGGTTAGCTTAGTCACAGTGTTGCCACGTAATTATTGCGTGACTAGTCACAGCTATAGGCAATTTACTCCAGCGCCTCGACGCCAGGCCGTCGCGACACCCGGGCGCGACCTACCCTGTCGCTATTTAAATTTACTTAGAACTAGGGGTGGTAAATACAATAGTTGAGGGAGTGTATGGAATTAATCAGACCGATTCTCTAATATTCCGCCTATGTTTAATAATGCGTTAAGCAATTCGTATAGCGTGAGTAGAAATCCTACGCGTCGAATTAATCGAGTTACGCTTTACTAGGGTTGCGAGCGCCATTTTCAATGTTGATGACATTAATGTAATTTGATTATAGTTTTGCTTACTTTGATGCCCTATTTCCAGTAAAGCTTTTACAAATACAATATTTTGTTGTTTATTTTAATGTTAGATAAAATCTTTTAAAGAGAAAAAAAGCACAGAAACATACGATACGATATTGATAAGTCTGCGTACCTTTTTTTGGGTCACAAGTCCTTGAGAAATATTAAATGTAATGTTTAGGCTGTTTGTTGAGTAAATCAATGAATATAATTTAGTTTAGTTTCCGTTAAAACTGCTGGTTTATAAAAACCAAAGAGGTCGAGGTTGTTGACCTGTTAGTGATGTTTAGGTTCGCTACCGCTGGGGAAATGAATTAGGTTTTATCGCGCCAAGGCCTCATTTCCTCGAGGAGTTAGCGACACGCAATTAGCAACGAAACTTGAAACTCTAATGTACTTTACCCAGCTCCAATTACGCCCAATAAAATAAATGTAACTAAACGAAAAGTCCTCGCTAAAATTACTTTTAAATGTTTTTTTACACGAAAAACATATTCGGATGTAGCTGCGAATTTAAATTTTAAACATCACAATATATACATTAAATTGTATATTTACATCATTTTTACTTTTTGTAAAACATTATTAAATCCTGCATTTCAAATCAAAAAGGGAGTGATGACTGAGATGACGTATGATAGAGTTATGTGGAGGACAAAAACCTGTTGCGCCGACCCTACGGGAGTAGGATAAGGAGATGATGATGATGATTATTAAATCCTGCATTTAACATAAATATACAATAGAGAAAGTTGTTAACTAATCTTCTATCAGAATGTATAGTCACGGTGCGACAAACCATCGATATGGGAAGCCATTCGAGTCACTGTTGAATAAACGATCAGGTAGCATGACGTCTGTTAAATTCAATGCGAGTACAATGGAAACGCAGTCGACGTCGGGAGATTATCGCGGATTAACATTCCGAAGCTCGGCTGCGACCCGTATGCTTCGGCCGGATGATATGAGACTAGGATTTTTTTCCTGTGACATGGCGGACGACCGCCAATTTATCCAATAAACTTATGCGGGCACAACTGCACTCGACGCTCGAGCAAGTCAAAGCGACGTTATTTAAATTTACCTGAGTCCCCGCATGAGTTCTGACAACAATTCAGTTAATATTGAATTGTCAGGTGACTTCAAGGTTGTGTAGAAAACCAGACCCGAAAATGAGGAATTTGATTTTAACAACACGAAAAATCTTAATCGATGAACGTAATCTGGCTTGTGTTTGATTTGACTAATTCACTAAGAAAGTTATTCAGTTGTGCATCGTTTTGTAGATTATTTGACAGTAATAAGGGGCGTCCGGCACTCTGGCGAGCTCGTCAATAACCCTCTCTGTGTATGAATTTCGTCGTAGGCATCGAATTTTATGAGGGGACTGCTGCGCCGGCGGCTCCCCTTCGACAGAATCAAGCGAATGACAAATTTAAATACGTAAACAATGAAAACGAACGAATGATTCATTCATTATTCACATGGTATTTGTTTTTGAAAAATAAATTATCTCCGTTACGCGTGAAGCGTTCTTGTACACTCAATTAACACTTTGATCTTTTTATTTATATTTATATTATTATGTGGAACATGTAGTTTAGGGTATTCAAATTGTTTTGCAAGCGTTTCGAGTAAACAAAATGGCGGCAAAAATAATATTAAAATACGCAAACATCGTAATGTAACTGGGATTGATAATAAGGGTATCTGAAGACAAAGACAGGTGATTTTATTATTACTATAATTGAGTCGCGACAGTAATACCGTAATACACTCGTAATTAGAGTACCCATTGTCGTGTAAGTGCGCAGTTAATGTTCTTTAGTAAAATATCGTTTTTGCGAAAAGTCTACAGTTCATCTTTGTGTATTACCCATATTTTTTGTTTTTTATTCTACGCTGACGAAGTCGCCAGAAACAGCTGGTTCATTATATGTATACAATTAAGTATGCACAATTAGTACACGCAATATATAGTTTACGTTTCTGTGTGTAAACGTCAAATGCGATATTGTCAAAACCGTTGAATATTGAAGCAAGTCTGTCTTCCGATGTCTTGTTTACAGTTCAGCTCGTCAATGTGGCTTGTTTTTCCGGCGATCAATAGAAATGGTCCGTTCATAACATTGTTATGCTTATATAACATGGAAGGATTTCTAAATGTTTAATTTTCTCCAGTTTTGTTAGCAGATATGAGTTGAAATTCGATTATGTTTATGGTATGAAGTCGAGCATTCGTTTTATTGACACATAGTTTACAGTTCATACGATTTTGAATTACATTCAAAATCATATAAATTGTAAACTATGCGCAAGAAATAGAAAAAGACTTAACATAAAATACTGTTGATAGCGAACAGCCAAATTTACTTTTGAGGTGCTTTAATATAACAAAGGGTATATAGAATTTAATAGTCATTTTTGTTAGATAAAGAATTTACTGATGACAACATTCATACGATTCATAAACATTAGGCCCTTCCTATCATTTATGATTACAATGGTCGAAGCACGTCAACGCAGCGCCAGCGGCATATCGACATCGATTGACACATTGATATTTAAATGAGCTGGTGATGACTACCAAGGCAGTATTCTGGCGTATTATAGCGATCGTCTGCCGCATTCCTGGCCCATTAATTAGGCGATGTGCTTATTGAATACGCAGCTCCATAAGCACGAAGGGCTGCGGTGAATAATAAGCGAGGCTTTGAAACGATCGAGTTTTGTTCGCTTTGTTATTACAAACTAGATTTAGGCCGCGACTCCGTCCGTGCGGAATCTAAAAAAACAAATGCAAGTAGCCTATGTGTTCTTCCAGATTATCCGATACATCTATGCCAAATTTCATAGAAATCCATTCAGCCGTTTAGGCTACAAACTCTAACAAACATCCTTCTTAACTTTCGCATTTACTCGTATAATATTAGTATGATGAAATTAAAAAGATTGACTATGGGATAATAGCTTATCTCGTTTTCAGCACAGATGTATAAGTTATACAAACGACAAAAAATCCAAAGCTGAATAGAGAAAGAGCATTACTTAAAAATGTAGTTTAGCACTGTATTTAGATTTAGTGATAAATAGCGAATATTCGGAATCAAATATCTTTATAACAAGCAATTGACGATCGTTAAGTAGGTGCGTTCTGCGCATGCGTTGCTTCCGTTGTTTTCCTCCCAACAAGACGAGCGCGCCGTGGTACATGACGGTGTCTGGTGTTGGTATGAAGTGGGAGAGAAGCTCCGTGCTATCCGCCGCCGATGCCGCGATCGATGCAACGTATAAACAGTTTACCCGCTACGTCGTCTGGTGTTCTTTAACTCTCGTAATATTAATAGATAACAATGGAGTTTCAATGCATATGTTTATTATCAGACGCTTCTTATACATACCAAAGGATGTTTGGTTTCAACTGATTTTATATCAGATTTATAACTAGTATAAAATACTTTTACTCTTGTGTGAAAATATGATAAAAATCCTTGAATATAGTTATAGTAAATATTCACTATAGGTAAATAAGAAATTGAACACTATTCATTAATCTTTGAAAATAATATTATGGCAACACCGTTATTTTCAAACATGTGAAAAATGTTGTAGCTACACCCTCATTTAAAATGTGTTAACTGTAATCTGTGCTGTTTTCACAGACTTTAGATATAACTATATGTTTTGTTACAGTGGCTTGAACTTCCAAGACCTGATTGTGCGTCAGGGCGCCATCGACTCCCCGCCGAAGACTCCATTCATCCTCGGCTTCGAGTGCGCCGGCGAGATCGAGCAGGTCGGCGAGGGTGTTACTAACTTCAAGGTCTGTAACCAGAAATCTAATCCAAACTTTATGCCTATTTCAAATAGTAACGTCTACTCATACCAGACTGATCTATAATTGCTTAGTGTATAGTACTCATGATGTTACATAGACTTCATACCCAAAAATTCTAAGAGTAAAAAAAAGAAAATATTGAATCATGTTTAATCAGAAAAGATACGAATTTAAATTATACCTCCACTTTTCCAATTAAATATTAAAAATATGCAATATTTAGTTAGTCTGGGATAAAATGGTAATAAATCTGAATCATTTTAGAAAACCTGCAATTAGATAGCATTTGTTTTACTGTAATCGCAAGGAAATATTTACGTTGATTGTAATGATTTTTGTATTTTTTTTTATAAAAAGAAGGATGCTGTTAATCTTGTTTGAACACGCGATATATTTTATTTCTAACTGCAGCTTTACGTCAGTTTAAAATTATTTTCCATGTATGAACATATGTCAAATGTATGTAATTTATGTCTAAAAAATCTTTACAACGAATTAGAAAAAATAAAACAAAAGAAGGCTAATTATAAATTAATTCTAGGTCGGAGATCAAGTAGTGGCTCTGCCCGAATACAGAGCATGGGCGGAGCTGGTCTCCGTGCCGGCTCAATACGTGTACGCCCTACCTGAGGGTATGACCGCGCTGGACGCGGTGGCGGTCACCACCAACTACGTGGTGGCTTACCTGCTGCTCTTCGAGATGGCCAACCTCACCCCAGGCAAGAGCCTGCTCGTGCACTCCGCCGGCGGTGGTGTGGTATGTATTTTACATTTATGCAACTTATATGGAACGGAGGGATTGTGTGATAAACATTATAGAAGGGTAGTACATACTGTGCAAACTTTCCGTACGGTGTGTCTGTTTAAACTCTTAATTAAAATATATAATAATAAAATAAGAAAACATTGCTTTGAGTAAATTTTTCCTATCATATTTAACGCTTAAAATAGTGTACGTATGCCATTCCTATAGTAAAAAATATTGTCTAAATAAATCACATTAATGCATTTAATGGGTGAATTAGGTGAGAAAAAAAATATTATTAGCTCTGTAATTATCACTGTCTGACGTCAAGAGTTACGTGTCATTGAACTGTACTAATTAAACCTTCAGAGCACGCTGAAGGCGTGGTCGTTTCTTAACTATTAATTATTCTAAGTCAAGTTTCTACTATATCTTATCTAGTACATTTTGTTTCCGCAATAAGTATTAGAACACCGGTAATTACGAAATGTTTGTATCCTATTTCAGCCATGTAATTAAGTTATCTAACAAAGTATAATATTTAAAAAGCAATTATTACTAGTTGAATATAGCAATTATACACTAATAAACTACATAAGTAAATAACGGTAAAACTAAAGTTTTATAGTCCGGTGTATCGACTAGTTTCCTGTATTCTAAAGTAATTGATACTAAGAGCGTGCGCACACCTTTGGCAAAACAATCGCACAACTGTTGTGCGATTGTAGATTGTTTCGCAGCCAATTCAACTGTTTCGTTGCACAACTAAAATCAAGTAGTGTGCGCTCTATATAAGCTTATAGGAATCAAAGCGAAACTAAACATGTGTTAGTTTAGACAAAATTATGGGCGCGCTCTAATTAAAGTTATATGGTATTTGTCCAGGGCCAAGCGGTAGCACAACTGGCGAAGACAGTGGACAACGTGACGGTGTTCGGCGTCTGCTCGAAGACCAAGCACGAGGCGCTCAAGGCCAACAACAACAACATCGACCACCTCCTCGAGAGAGGCAGCGATTACACCAACGAAGTCAGAAAGTAAGTAACATGTACAGTGCCCTGCTTATCAGGATAAGGTTAGCGCAGAAAACATTAATCAGGTTATGTATAATCTAAGCTTGATAGCCTTCTTTCATACTAAAAAGTCGAGCAATCTTTTACTTATACATTGTTGCTAAAATATTTCCCTACTTAGTTCGACTCCATAAACTGTAATTATTACTGTTCTTATCTCTTTGTTCATTAAAATAAACACAGTAATGAGTCACATCATGATTAATTCCGATTTGAAATAAAATGTAAAAATGAAGGACTGTGTATCGTGAAATCAGTGCGCTAAAAATATGAACTGAGCAATACACGGCGGCCCTTCGCACCGCTAATGGCATCTTGTATACATTGCGCGCTCAAAAAGAACACATTTATTTCAAGCATTCGCGCGTTTGTGTTATTATAAGAACAAATATTGACTTTACTGTTAGCTCTCAAAATATCGACATAATTGTACTAATAATGAAACAATATGTACTTCAAAATTTACACATTAATAAAAACTTACAAAGTCTTGGAACAGATAGTAATTATTGAGTCCACTTTGGAATTTCTTGTTATTAAAAATGTTACTAAGTAGTCTTACTATTAGTTAAAGGGTTCGTTCCATTAATTATGAACTTGTTAAAATGTTAACATTCAACAATTACATTCCCTTCCCGTGTGACTAATCTGAAGCCGCGAGACATTCGCTTCCTTTCCCCCTGAAACATTACGACGGCTAGTTTAGCTAATTGGATTTTATTCATTCAAAGATCCCCGCATTCTTTCTGTATCAACCAATTGTTCTAGATCCCATGTTTTAATTGACGATTATTACAGCCACATACTTTAGTGCCACCCATCTAGCTCGTGTGTGCTGACAAATATATCTTGACCCCTCATGCTATCGTCCTTTAAAGTCAGTTGTTGCGTGTTGATCCCGAGAGATAAATTCAAGGTTCAATTAAAATGGACACTATGGGCTAATTGTTCCATTTATGTTTTCTTCTCACAGCAGCTGCTCGGCAGGGGCCGCGGGGCGTTTAAATCTCGTAAATAGACAAAGATATTTTTATAACGGTTTAGTTGTTTGCAACGTAAACAATCCGGAGCCGCACAATCTCAACGTAAACAAACAGACAGTTCTAAGTAATGGTCGAGAGGAAGTCGGCGGGAAAGGTTTATCGGAAAAAATCGATTTCATTATGTCCATAGGAGTATGGTCGAAATAAAATTTGATTTTTGGCGCAGTAGTTTAACTAACTTGCATTATTTTAATAATTATGCCATGTCATTAAATAAACATACGAATTTGAAATGCTAAAAGCTTAATTGTACTAAAAATTGAATTTTAATTATTATTTTGTCGTTTTTATTTAACTAAGTATAAACGTTTGTGCTTGATAGGATTTCCCCTGACGGTGTGGACATCGTGCTGGACTGCCTGTGCGGCGAGGAATGTAACCGCGGCTACCAGTTATTGAAGCCTATGGGACGGTACATTCTCTATGGTAAGTGCCAAAACAAAAACATAGAACATAGACAAGTAAGGAACTTACGATATATGTTTTAAAGTTATAACACACTAAGGATTATTAAAAAATATTCGTATTAGTAATATATCTATGGTAATTGCGTGATTTAAATATCGCATTCATCACTTAGTTTCTACTTTGTATATCTTACTAATGTTATAAATGATAATGTTTATATTAAATCCTGCGCAGACAAAGTCGCGTGCAAAAGGTAGTGTGTTAACAGTATCGTTTGTGTCAGGTTCATCTAACATCGTGACCGGTGAGACTAAGAGCTTCTTCAGCGCCGCTCGTGCTGTGAGTATTACATGGAGTCTTTTTATTTTATTTTTCAATAAAACCATCGACTTCCGATGCATACGTATCAAATCTTGTCACGCTTTGCATTCTCTTTAAAAAGATAAACCATAAACTGCGATGATATTAAAAGCCTATCCTAAAAGTGACATAGAACGCTTTGTTATCTGTCTATCCCTGAGTTTATAAGAGGGATTTAAAACAGTCTAGTTGTAAACAAACTTGGGGTATTCATCTCAATGTGCTCTAGAGCCATGACTCATGACTTACGCAAATGTTTAGCGTGCTCCAAATGTTTTTAATCTGTGCGCTTGAAGTTTTAATGTTCTTTAAGAAGTTATCTACTCATCTGCTGTGTATATTTTACTATAATAATATATCTTTCCTGTATCTACATTAGTCAATATGGCATTTGTAATATGTTAACGAGAAAGAACGAGTTTATCGAGACGATCATACTATATCGATTTGAGAAATGCCTACTAGAAAGACCGTCAACTGATTAACCATGTCCTCGGTACTGTCGTATCTGATTTTGATTTATGATTTGTATTCCTAGTGGTGGCAAGTGGACAAGGTGTCTCCGATCAAGCTGTTCGACGAGAACAAGAGCCTGGCGGGGCTGAACCTGCGGCACCTGCTGTTCCAGCACGGGCGCGCGGACTACGTGCGCCGTGCGGTAGACAACGTGTTCTCGCTCTGGGGACAGGGCAAGGTGAAGCCGCTCGTCGACTCCACCTGGGCACTCGAAGACGTAAGTCAACGTTCAACAGTCGTTTAGCATGCTCAATACCACTACGAATTCCGATATATGATAGACGTATTTCTACTTTTTCACTCTACTTTTATGTTACTAAATATTTTTTTTTATTCTCACATTATTTTGATAGAGATGTTTGGTGATTTTTTTTTAAATGATTTTGTTTGATTGAAATTTTTATTATTTACTTAAGGTTGGCGAGGCTATGCAGAAGATGCATGACCGTAAGAACATCGGCAAGCTCGTTCTCGATCCTTCTCTCGAGCCGAAGCCTAAGCCCGCCACTCCCGCCAAGGGCAAGGCCGGCAAGGAGAAGAAACCAGCCAAAGAGAGCTCCGAGGAGAAGAAGGACAAGGAGACCAAGGATGAGGATAAGAAGGCGGCAGAAGACGGCCAGAAGAACGGCGAGAAGAACGGTGAGGAGCCTCTCACTAACGGTAACAGCGACGAAGGTCAGTCTCGAACTAATGTGACCAGGCATGTGTAGTTGCGTAGACGCTTTACATCTTATATCTATTTATAAATTATAAATAATTTTTATTTTGGCTTATTATTATTTCGAACTACGCACACAATTGATTAAGCGCACATTGAAGGCTTCACTGTCACGCGACGGTGCCGTATTAAGCAGTCTTTAAGTTTGCTTCGTTCGACGCAGGTTTTTACAGCAGCTTTTATAATAAATAAGCTTAAAGCAAACACAATTGATTTATATTCTTTCATTCAATTTAAAAGATAAATATAGAGTTGCTTTTATAATATCGCCCAAGCTTTATCACCCACTTGAAATCACTTTATAGATAAGTTTAATCGCCCATCATTAAGGTGGTGATAAAAATTTGAAGGCTGTTTTTTAGATGTGCGCTTAGTCGGCTTGGTCATGACTAGTCGAGTCATATGACCTCGAAAATTAAAATTAAGTATAACATAGCTTTGCAATAAATGACGTTCACAGATACACGGCATTGTAATTGCATTTAAAACCACACATATATTGCGATCTCGAAAGATAGCATGCCTTGACTTAATATATGCTCTTATATGCTTAAAAAAACTAAATTATTTTACAAAGTATATTAAAGAGCTTTTTCAAGAGTTGCTGAAATTAATAGAGCTTAGTATTTTAAAAAAACATTATTCAAATAATTTTCAATAAATAATCATCGTCTCATAGTAATCGGATTAATTAGTTTTTAAAAATTGAAAGCAACGTTAAGAAGAACGTAAGGCTGAGGTCACACCGCGCGATTCCGCGTGAAAATTCTATCGATGCGATGCAACATCATTCGAAATATGATTGTTCTCAACGTTCTTCCGCATGGGTCATGTGCACATGCCTTGTTCCCTAAGCTCACTATAATATATGTTATGTTTTATTTTGATTTGATACTTTCAGAGTCGAAGGAGAAAGAGAAGGAGTCTAGCTGAATTCGTCCAGAAGCCTGGAGCCAACGAACCACCGCCGATTCATTATTTTAGAGTTGAAGCTGATGTTAGGATGGCACGCATGCCACCGCCACGCCACGCCACGCTTGCACACGGCGCGCGCGGCCGCCATTACTGTGTTGCCTCATGTTTTATTATGTTTAATCTAAAATAAATAAGTCTGAGCGCGGCCCTGTTCGATTCTTTTATAG